ATCGAAAGATAGGTGTAAAAAAGGGCTATAATTTTCAATTAAATTTTAGGTCAAGGGCGCATCCAGGGATCCGGAGGGGGTGCTAATCCACCACCTACACCTCACAAAAATACACTTTTTTTCATAAAAAAGTGTTTTTCTTTTAAAAATTACAAATATCTATATATAAAAAATTGTTATTATTTTATTCCACATCACTAGTGAATATTACAAGTCTATCTCAAAGTTGGGTGTTGGGTTTTGAATAAGGTTTAACACCCTATCAAAATTTCATTCTTTTAAATATTTCAATCTTTACTAAAACAATTAATTTTAGTATAAAAAATAAAAAATATATTTCGATAATTATAAAAATAGTAACTAGTGGTGTATAAATTGACTTTATGGAAGGGGGTGTAAGCTGCCCCCCTTCCGCCCAATACCTAAAAAAAAAGGTTTTAATTAGAATTTAACAAAAAAAGTTTCAAAATGCTTTTTAACCACATATAAAATAGTATAAAAAACTGTTTTACCATGTTACAGTGGTGTATAAATTGCATTCATAAAAAGGGGTGCAAGCCGCCCCCTTCCGCCCCCTTCCAAAAATTTGCAAGCCACAAAACTTGCTGTACCTATTTCCAAGATACAAAACTTGCGGTACTTGTTTGCAAGCCACAAAACTTGCTGTACTTATTTGCAATCCACAAAACTTGCTGTACCCATTTGCAAGCCACAAAACTTGCTGTACCTATTTGCAAGCCACAAAACTTGCCGTACCTAATTGCAAGCCACGAAACTTGCTTTACCTAATGACAAGCCACAAAACTTGTTGTACTTGTTTGAAAGCCACAAAACTTGCAGAACTGTTTTTTCAAGCATTTTTACATTATTTCATATTCAAACTAAGAAAATATTAACTAATACAACATCAGCAGCTAGCTGGATTTTTTTCATCTTATGCTCAACAGCTTCAATATCAGTTTTATCTTGTTTTCAGTAAGAAATAGTGTAAATTCTATCATTTTGTCTTTTGCTTTTTCTAGTCTACCATCATAAATGATAGACTTTGATGAGTCAGTATCATACCATTCATGACAGAGTTTTCTGCCAGCAATTTTTTCAGACATCACATCATCTAAATCTTCAAGTTGTTTTGCAGATAAGTGCTTGTATAAATTCATCTTTTCAATGATAGTTAAGATTTCAAAGCATTATGAAGCATTTTATATAAACCCTTAAAAAAAAAAAAATTAAAAACTTTTATTTAGAATTGGCTTATTTAATATAAAATACTTTTATAAAATATAAATAAGCATTAAAGTTTTTCAAAAACGAAGAACAATCATAAAAAAATATTTCAATTTATACATTAACCTGCAGAAGATTGTGCTGCAGGAACTTAAAGTTAAAAATTGATGTAAACAACAAAAATAAAATGAAATTGGGGTTAAATTTATAGTATAATTTTAATGAGATAGACTATGCACTGCTAACAAAGAAATAGTTTTTTAACATACCAACCAAAGCAGATGTAGATGCAGCTAAAAATAAAAATAAAAATGTAATTAACAAAATAAATGACTTTTTTAGAAAAATCAAAACACTGCTAAAAAATATTTAGTTTTTAAACTTACTATTTGTGAAAAGGATGTACTCAACCAAAAAAATATTTAATTTAGGCATTAAATTATTACAGAGATTAAAAAGTAATAGCTTTTAAATTTAGTAACTGTGGCAGATATAGATTAAAAAAAGGTGTAACCAAGTAAAAAAGTATTAGAAATTGGCCTTACATACATATATTACATACAAAGTGAACAAAGAAATAGCTTTTAAACTTTCTAAATGTGGTAGATGTTGATGAAACTAAAAGTAAAAAAAAAGCTGTAATCAAAAATAAAATTGAGTTTGATATTAAATCTATAGTATAGCCATAACAAAAGAAATAATATCGACATCCACAGCAGGTGTCGATAAAGCTTAATGTAAAAAAGGTGTAATTAATAGCAAAAAAGAAGGATGTAGATGCAACTAATATCACGAAAAGATGCAATATAAAAATAAACAAAAAAAGTTGAAAATGGGATTAAATCAATACACTACTGAAAAAGAATTGACTCTAAAACTTACCAACTGTTTCAGATGTAGATGGAACTAAAACTAAAACTAAAAACAAAATGGATGTTATCTACAAAAAAAAAAAGATATTGGCAATAAATCTTTACAAAAGTTAAAAAATAATAGCTTTTAAATTTACTAATCACAGTTGTTTAAGAAATGACTTGAGATAAAAAACATATGAATTAAACCAAAGCATACATTAAATTTCTACTTATATAAACATGACCTAAATTGCAATATACAAACTTACCAGTGGAAGGCTGAGTTGATTGGACTAAAATTAACAAGAAAACTGTATATCAAAATAAAAAAAACACCTTAAATTTGACAACAGTAAGTGAATAAGTGACAACAATCAAACAAGTTCTGGATAATGTGCAACAACTTTATTGATAAAGTATATAATGAAAACATAATTACACAAGAAAACATTAAGAAAAGTTGAATAATGATTTAAACAATAAAAGAAAGATTATTAAAAAGATATCTTTTGTATTAAAAAACTTTTAAGACATCAAAATGTTTATTTCATTATGAATAACATTAAAGATTATATTGTTCATGTCATCCCTATATGTCACTATTATCTATCATATCTATACATCAATACATCACTATCATATCGATACATCTATACATCACTATCATATCGATACATCTATACATCACTATCATATCTATACACCTATACATCACTATCATTCCTATACACCTATATATCACTATCATATCATATCTATACACTATACACTACTATCATATCACTATACATCACTATCATATATCACTTACGGAATCTCAAAAACTGATGAAATAGTAAGCCTGCATCTAAACAAGAAAGAAACATTAGAAATGTTTGTGTAATGATTTAAACAATAATTAAAAGACTAAGTATTATACAATAGATAAATCATAAAAGATTAACATACCAAATGTTCTCAATGTAGATAAAGCATAAGGTAAAAAAAATGTAAAGAACAAAACATACATTTTTGCCAACAAATCTATACATAATTGTTTTTTTAAAAAAAGTTTTCAAACTTACCAACCATAGCAGATGGTGACAAAGCTAAAGGTAAAAAAATTAACCAAAATAACTTTGATTTTGACATTAACTCTATACAGATCTGAAAAAATTTGCCACTGGCAGATGTTGATAAAGCTAAAAGAAAAATAAGTGTCATCAAATAAAATAAAAAAAGGTATTAAACTTATAGTATAGCTTTAAAGAATAAGTAGAAACACCTAATAAAAAAATACTTATTTAACTTACCAACTGCATCAGATGACGATAAAGCTAATGTTAAAAAAGGTGTAATATATATAAAAAAAAAATACACATTTTTGGCAACAAATCCAATAAAACAATTTTGTAAAGAGCAAAGAAAAGTACTGTGTAAATATTTACACAGTACTTTTCCTTGCTCTTTCCAAAATTGTTTTATTGGATTTGTTGCCAAAAATGTGTATTTTTTTTTATATATTACACCTTTTTTTAAGTAACCCCTAATTTTCGTTATTTACACCTTTATTTTATTTGTTATTTAACAAATAAAATAAAGGTGTAAATAAAGAAAAATAGGGGTTACTTAAAAAAAAGCATTGAGTAGGTTTTATCTAGTCAATGATTTTCAAAAGTTTAACAAAAAAATACTTGTAAAAGTAATAAACAATAGTATTATTATGAAAAAACATATGAAATTACTATCTGTTTGATTACCCAGTTCATTTATATTATTCATTTTTTTAATTACTAACAATCTAAGTGAATCATTATGCAATAAACATTTTTAAAGAAAAAAAAAAGTCTCTCCCCCTCAGCCCCACCTCGGCTATTTTTGAAAACAGAAATTAGGTACCAAAAGTGTTTAACTGAATTAACTAATTGCTACATAATATTTTTTCATGAAATTTGGCAGGTGCAAAAGAAATGCATGTAGAAACTTATTTAAAAAATCAAAAAAGCGGAATATTCAACAATAATTGAACAAGTAAACATCAACATAATTTTCATGAGCAAAATAGTCAAAAAAAAGGTATGACAATCATGTAAAAAAATAACACAAAAAACAAGCCTAACTCTTCTTCTTTCTGAAAATATACTATGTGTATATACGTTTCTGTAAAAAAAACCAACAAAAAACCGTTTGCCTAACCCTACTCAAAATAATGAGACGGGAAATCCGCTAAAAAAAATTCGGAAAAACAGAAATTAGGTACTAAAAGTGCTAAACTGATTTAACTATCTGCTACACAATATTTTTCAATAAAATTTGGTATGTGCAAAGAAAATGCATGTAAAAACTTATTTAAAGAATCAAAAAAGCGGAATAAAGAGTCCTTCGACAAGAATTTGACATGTAAACACCAACCTATTTTTCATGAGCCAAATGCTCCAAAAAATGGTAAGACAACCGTACGTAAAAATAACATAAAAAACAAGCTTAACTCTTCTTCTTTCCAAAAATATACTATGTTCATATATGTTTCCGAAAAGAAACTTCTCAAAAATACGTTTGCCTTAGGCTACCTAAAAAAAAAGTCAAAAAAACGAGTCACAGAATTTTAGCACAAAATTCGGCTCCGTAAATCGCTATTTCCGCGTACCTTATATATATATATATATATATATATATATATATATATATATATATATATATATATATATATATATATATATATATATATATATATATATATATATATATATATATATATATATATATATATATATATATATATATATATATATATATATATATATATATATATATATATATATATATATATATATATATATATATATATATATATATATATATATATATATATATATATATATATATATATATATATATATATATATATATATATATATATATAAATATATATATATATATATATATATATATAACAGTATAAAAAAATGTTTACAAATATCTTAACTTGCAACGTGTGACAGGCTACACATCAGTGTTGTCCATCTTTAATCGAGAAATGCATTCAGAACATTTTATGAAGTAAGTTTATGTTTATTTTACATTATTGTGTTATTAGATTATTTAAACACATTGAATATTACTTTTTATTTTATTTGGCTGAGGTAAGCAGGCTTTGAGATGAAAAAAATAATGCTTGAAAGTTTTTGAAGTTCCAAGTTTTATCTTTTTATCGTTTATATTAGTTATTATTTTTACTTTTATATTTTTGTTTTGTTTTCTGTTTTACTCCATATTTGTGAATTTCAAAGTTATGTTTATTAAATTTTAAATTTGTCTGGATTTTATTCTGCTTTTTTTTTTGTATACTTGTATTGTAACTTCATTAAATATTTTTATGAAGGATAAATATTTTACTTGGTTACATATTATTAGCTTATTATTAAGTTATTATTAAGTTGATAAACAAGTTTATTATTGATTACAACGGTGTTATTGAAATTATTGAAAGACCTCTAGTAATGCAAAGACTGGTACTACTGTGAATAAAATGTGTAAACAGCTACAAAAAAGTAATTTAGGAATTATAAATAGTATATTCAAACAGCTATTTGTTACATTAAATAAGTAATGAACTAAAGTGTTCACAAGTTTTCTATTTTTACAGATATAAATGTTTTATATTATTAATTTTTCATACAAATGTAAAAAACTGTGTTTATCTCATTTATATTCATTAATATCCATTTTTATGTTGCATGTTCAAAAACCAAAACAATTTGTAAGGTTGTTTTTCAAAGTTGATAAACATCTGGTAAGGTATCAGATATATTTTGTATGAGGTTATAGTAATCTGATATAAGGTATTAGCTTATTCAAAACCTTGATGTTTGTGTTAAGGTTATCTAAGTAAAGCCATGATCCAAGTAGGGATGCGGAGTATTAAAAAGACTCAGGATTTGCATGTCACAAAAAGATTACTTTAAGTATTGTGAATTTCAAAATAGGTATCAGAGATGTAATGACTTGCAAGGTTGCTCAGTTTTATGACTTTTTATTAAAAAAATTATGCTGACAAACATTAAAAAAAATGTACAAGCAACAAATTTTTTGGCTTCATTTTATTTCTGAAAATCCTTTTGCATTTTGATTATATTTCAATTTTTATATAACCTTCATAAAAAAGATAAGATATTCAAAATTTATTTCTATTAGTTTTTGAAAATATTACCTGTAAAAAATATCAATAAGATGGCATCTTTCCTTATGTTATGCTATTTCTTTTTTTTAATAAATTAAGGTGTAGATATATATAGTAGTTCTATTGGTTAAGGTTAAGTTATTATATTGGTTTAAGAATAAATTATTCTATTAGTTTAAGATTAAGTTATGGTTACCTATTTAATCCACAATACATCTAAAGCTGCTCAAAAAGCTATGCAAATTACAGTGTGTGTAGATTTATAAAATAGAGTTTACAAATTGGATGAAAATAGAACATGTATGATAAATTGATAGGACAGTAGTAAAATTTTATTTTTGTTTTTTAGGTATTGGCAGGCTGTACCTGACGTCTTACTTTCTTGCAACGAAATCAAAAGAACTACAAACCAATTAAATTAATTTTTATAGCAGCTTTTTCTTTTGAAGAATTTTTTTCTTTGAAGAATTTTCTTTGAAGAATTTTATTTACTAATCAGATTACTTGTATTTCATAATTTCTTTAAATTATTTTTGGAGATTTTTGGATTTAAATTTTAGTGTTATACAAAATTTTAAGTTTAAAAAATTATTTTACATATAGATTCTTAGATTTTTAATAATTAATTTTTATTCAGAAGTACAATTATAATTGGAGTGTCCAGTTTTTGTAATATTTTTTCTGCAAATATCAATTTGATAATATGTTATCAAAGTGAAAGTATAACCTCAGGATATAATTTAAAAAATGGTAGGATGAGGTACATAAACATACGCTTTGTTTTCTTATAAGTTTAGCGCAATATGTCTGTACCGATAGAAACCACTCGCAAAATCTTTTGATATTGATTGGTCTTTTAAAATTTTACTGTTATTTTTACATGGTTTCTACTTACTATGACAGTAAGTGTGAAAACACGCGCAAACTGGCAATCGGGAGATTTTTGAACAAAAGTTAACGCCGTGGTCTATGGTGCGTACTTCACATGCGTATACGTGTTAGAGTCTTATAGGCGCACAAAGACTGACTTAGGGTAGCATAGGGTAGTATTACTTGGATGGGTAGGTTTCCTGTATAGAAGCAGTGAAGTTAAAACTGCTTTGTGTTTTTTATATTGACTTTATGAGGTGATAGAACCAATACAATTAGCGTAAGTTTAAATGCAGTAATAAGCAGCTATAATTTTTTAAATTTTTTTTTGTATTTACCACAGAGCACCATGTATCAACTAATTAAAACGCGTGAATAAATCTGTAACGCGAAATTTTGGAGCTGAAATAATAAAGTTAACTTTTTTATAAATAAAAATATGTTAGCTAAAATTCTAATTCATTTTTGTTTGGAAAACAATGCATAGAATTATTACCCAGTGTTTTAATTGAAATTACCTAGCTTTAAGTCCTAAAATAGCAGTGTTTTTAATTGCTTTTTAAATAAAAACAAAATATTGTAAAAAGTTTTAATAATTTAACAATACTAAATATTTTTCTGTAATTAAATTTCGAAAAATTTGAGTTTTTATTGTTCAAAAGTATGAGTAAATAAAATTGAAAAATTAACAAACTAATTTCTTTTTTCTTTTTGGAAAACATAGTAGTATTATTTCAACTAAATATGGCTTTAAATTTGATCTTTTAATGATAAGTTTTATTAATAACGAATCATTACAGGCGCGGATCTAAGGGGTGGCCATTGTGGCCATGGCTACATAGTTTAAAATTAGATAGATTTATTAGAAAGTTTATATATTTTTTATCAAAGATCTTTAAAAACTTTTAAAAATAATTATTGAAATATTTTTGAAGATATGTTATTGAAAAAGAATATAAGACTTTTTTCGTCTACTGTTTATTGATAAACTACGTCACACTAAATTTAAATTTCAAAAACTTCGCGGTAAACATTGCAAAAATCTCTGCAAAAGAGAGTCAAACTCTCCGTGACGTACTTTATGGAAACCCTTGACAGGCCATATGGCCATTATGGCCATAGGCCCTATGGCTATAGAGATTAAATTAAACGGCAGCCAACTTAGCTTCGGATTTTTTTGCTAAAGGAAAATCGCTGAAAATTTCATTTTGTCTTCCGTAATTTAAGGAATTTGGCCATAGAGATTCCTGCCATGGCCACAACGGTTCCTATTACACGTTACCGACGTTTTATTCTATGAATAAATGCTCTGAAATAATTAATAAAATATAGATCTCTCAACCGTGAAAATAAAACTTGGCCACAAAGTTGTTTTTAACGTGTCCGACTTAGAAAAATATTTTGTTAAATAGAAGCTAATAACTTAGGGTTTTTTATTCGCTACCGTGAAATCATCATTAGTATCGAAACTAAGATAACGTGACTTTACTTGATTATTTATTTACTTGATTATTTAAATATTATAAAACATGAATCCTTATTTAAATATAGAATTAGTTGCTTATGCAATAGAAACAAAACATGCTTTTTGCCTATGATAAGTCTAATGTCTTAAATTACAAAACTAGACTCATTAAAGAGCTTTCGGAATTAAATTTAATGTTTTTAAGAATACAGGATTCTTACCAATTTAACACAGATATGATGGATTTTGTACCCTTAACTAAAAGAACTCTTGGTTATACAGCATTAAGGTATTTTTTGTTTGTTTTAAGCTTATAAAAGTTTTATTTAATTAAAATAATATTACAAAATGGACCTACATCTATGTTGGATTTTAACTTTATTTATTGGTGTTTAAATAATTATTAACACATTTTACTACAGATTTATATTCTTGATAGTGTGTATGAAATTGAATTATTAAACACACAAATAAACTATAAAAGTGATTTAGTTTTTTAATGAGAAATTATGGTATATATTAAAATGTTTTATTAATAAAAAAAATAAAAAAAATTATAATAGTTAATCTATTTTTGTTTTGTTATTAATACTACACTTTAGTATATTATACTTATTATTCAATTTAAATATATTTTACTATTTCTCTCAGGTCTACTAAACATGTAAATTGTCTTTATAGATCAGTATCTTTGATTTTAAATGACAGTAAGCATACTTCAAAAATTCTAAGATTACTGACATTAGTTGAATTATTTGAAAGCATAAATTTTTACACATAGTATGATTATTTTTTTCAACATAGATACAACATAAATGATTAGTTGACTTTTCTTTGCTTACTTAAAATTTTACTCTAAAATTGAAGATGGTGCATATTGTCTTCCATATAAACTTTTTAGGTCGAAATGACCTTTTAAACTTTAGAGTTGATGCAAGTGATTTAATTCTAAAGGAATCTTCTCTCTGCTCCCAAAAATTTTACATTCATTTCAAAGACCATTCAAAACGAGTTAATTAAGTGTCGTGGAAATGCAATTGAAGAAATTCTAATAAATGATATTAAAAAAAGTAAGTACTTCTCCATTATTGCACACTAGGCTTCAGTGTCACCCTTGAAAATAAGTCTTTTGATATTTCCCAGCAACTGGATGAAATTCAAAATTTGACTAATCGTTTAAAAGAAATACGAAGAAATGCTGATGCTTACCATAACAAATGGTATAAAATTGCTCTTGTATTAGCTAAAACATTTGATATTGATGGAAATAAACCTAGAACATTTGGTGTTCAAAAGCATATAGATAATTAAATATGTGATACTGTATCTGATAGTTTAAAGTTTCTATTACATTGCCTCTTCTTAATGAACTATATATATAAATAAAGTAGGTTTGATATTGAGAGCTTAATTGTTTATAATAGTCTTTGTGCTATTCCTGCTAGTTTAATAAAGTAAATTTTTAGATATTGTCCATGGAAAGAAAAGTTCCTGATATTTTTGAATTTTTGTAAATCTGATCTTCCTCATTTCTCATCAATTAATGCTGAATTAGAGTTATGGGTGGAAATTTTGGAATGAAAAGACAAATTATCATCTACTATTTCAGATACATTTAAGTTCAGGGATATGAGAGGCTTTCCAAACATTTAAGAGGCATTTCATATACTTGCTACAATACCAATCAAAGGTCAATGTCTACTCTTAGGAGAATAAAAACTTACACGAGAGTACTATGTCAGAAAATAGATTACTTACTTTAATGTCTATTTAATGTTATTAAAATATTTGCATCCAAAGGAGACAAAAAATTAAAGTTTTTATTCAAATAAAAATTTTGAATTTCTGAGTAAAAAATTTAAGCACTGTTTCATCACGTAAATGTAAATAATTTCTCAATAGCAAAATATTTCTAGTCATTATTTTAAACATGTAAACTGTGAAAATCATTTTTTATTAGCAAATTATTACTATTCATTGTTTTATATAAACTGTGAAACTCATACTTCATTTGCTATTTCTTTTAATTCCTAAAGTTGAAAGTGTTTTCATGTGATTTAGGTTGTTACTTTTTTGATTGTTACTTAATTTGTTGTATTATATTTTGTCTTGTTTATTTATTAAAATTTATTTAAAAAAAAAAAGAAAAAAATTTTTTTTAATGTTTTAAAAATGTTTGTACATAACTGCCTATCACACACACAAAAAAAAATCCAGAAATAGTGGGCTAACCTTAGACAACACGACAGTTTACTGATGGAGTGCAAAGTCCTATGGCTTACCTTCTCGTTGGTGCACTTCGTTAAGTGATTTAGACAAGTACTATGTCTAATTTATGAACTAAATAGCCAAGGCAATATTTTGAATAACTTTATTATTAAATGGATAACTAAAAACAATACAAAATAAACTTTACCACGATTGACTCGATTGTTTAGAATAACTTTGCATTAGCAGAATATTGTCAAACAAACACGAAGTAAATAGATTTCAATTACAAGTAAAAAGTGAAATATCTGATATACAAGTCGACTCCTCATATATAACATTTTTTTACCTATAATGCATTTTAATATTTAATGTAATAATTAATAATTTTAAAAATGTATGCGTTTTTGAATTACACAATTGTTTAGAGAGTTTATTTCTAACGAGAAATATCAAAATTAAGTGTTTTTTTTTATTCATACAGAAAGCTCATATTTTAATCTAATTCTACTGAATAAGTTTAAAATATGATATAATTTTTGTAAGTCTATATATATAATATGAATGATCTCTTATTAATTTTATTAATTGATTCCTTATATAAGAATTCGTCGAAGACGAATTCGTCGCTCATTTCGTCTACAACACAACAACAAAGTTTTTAGTCTCAAGCGTGAAAACTATTATACTTATTGTAATAATGGCGCTCTCAGATTATTAAATCTAGAGTAGTTAAGTAAAGTAGGTTAGTCTCCCTACGTATTAAAGTTTTAAAAAATGATACATAATGAGTCGCATTATGTATCATTTTTTTTATATTTTGTATATAGTATCACCCTAATCTACCCTAATTAAAAAAAGTTAAATTACTAAAAAAAAAAAAAAAAAAGATGGATTCGGAAAGTCAAAACACAATTAAGTATTTTAATAGTAGTAAAATATATTAATTATAAAATAATTATTTATCTTATCTAATTTTTCTTTTAAGAAAACAAAAATAGTAACCTTGATATTAATAAAAACAGCCATAAGTCATTATTACGGCATGAACAAAATTTCAGGGGTAAGTATTTTTCCAATTTCAAGCTTGTATTTTTTGAAACAAATGTTTTCTATTACAGATTCACTTCTAATCAAAAGGTATTGGCACTGGTTTATGATAACACTTTTCTAGATGTCTTGGCTGCATGGTTAAATATAACTTTGCAAGTTTCCTAAATCAGAATCACAAGTGACTCTTCAGAGTAGTAACCAATTGCATATCTAATGCCTCAGATATATGCACACAATGTAAAAAGATTTATGAACTGTTAGGGGAATCGCATACCAGCAATATTTTTAGAGTATAAGAGCAGCAGTTTCATAGCGATACTGGTGAAAACTATCAGAGTTCAACTCATAACAGAAGCGTAATGATATTAGAGTTGTCATTAATTTAATAATTACATTTAATAGCACCCCCGTTTTATAGAGCAAAAGTTTCAGCATTTTCAAATACCCCTCTGCAGTGTTCCCATCGCTAGTGTTGCAAAAACTAGTTTTAAGCATATAAAAACGACTTAGATAATCTCTAAACCTCAGTTGAATATTCTTTTTTTACTTATTCTTTTTCAGCAGAGGATTTAGCAAAGTATTTTTTTTTGTGGATACATTTAGGATATAATTATATCCACTTATAAGTCTAGTTTATACTTATAAGTCTAGTTTATATCCTAAATTTAAATTTTTTTTTCTTTCTGTTTTTCGAAGTTTTTATATAACATTACTTTCAGAAATAATTTTATATAACGTTATTTATCATCACCTTTCATTAAATAATATTCAATATATCAATCAATACTGGTAAATCAAAAAAATTAACAAGAAGAACACGTCATACTCCAAATAACATAGAGCATAGCTAGATCTTCTGAGAAGTCTCAATATACGTTGGTAGTTTTCAAAGATTTATCAAAAGCATTTGACACTACTGATCATGAAATTCTACTTAAAAAGTAGAATATTATAGAATTAAAGGTAATGTTTTAATATTACTTAAAAGTTATTTTAGCAACCGTAAACAGTTTGTTTATAGTTAATGAAACTGGATACAACTAATCTATTAAATAAAACCTGTGGAGTTCCCCAAGTGTCTTTAATTAGACCACTTCTATTTTTAATGTACATCAGTTATCTCCCTGAAGTGTCAAATTTAATGATTTAAATTGCTACTAAATGCCGAAAAAAAAGGTTCAAGGGATATCTAATAAAAAACTTCAACCTACCGTCCTGCCCTTACTTTTTATAGACAAAATGTAAGCAAGAAAAGAAAGAAATACTAACTTTTTAGTTATATATGTTTGATGAAAACCTTAGCTAGAAATATCACACTAATTGTTAAAACTATAGGAGTAATGGGTAAGGCTAGAAATGTTTTGAATTAATCAAGTCTAATACATTTATATTATTCTTTTATAAATTGTCATTTAAACTATGCAAATATTGCTTTGTGTACGATACGATAAAATGATAAAATACCAACACTTAAGTGATAAAAAAGTTTATAAGCATACAAGAAAAAAATAGCAAACTTTTTTCCTTGGTCCAAAATAGAAAAAGTGCCGCGTATCTTACTTATCTGCTTTCCAGCAATCTTTTGTTGCGCATTAATACCCAACAATGAAAGTTAGGGAATTGAGTAACAAAGAAAGTTAGAGAATGCATTTACAAATATTCTTAAATTGCGTTCAGAATTA